CAAAATAATATATTCTTACAGGGATCAACATAAAACAAATGCAAAATGAAGAAAAATAAGCGAAATGTCCATTAAAGTTACGATTACATATTTGATTGTTGCGATGAGCATAAAAAAGAATAACAATTACTTATCGTTGGCAGTCTCTTTAACGTTGGTATCCTGGTTAACGGTGGTCTCAGGACTGAGCTCGACATTGGAGTTGGGCTTTTAAGGCAGCTCGTCGGGCTGGCCAGAGTGAAAGGTCGAGGCTTTCAGATATCTTAAAGCCCGTTGGTGAGTCAACTCTCCTAAGATGGCGGACATGACATAGGCTACACTCCGGCCTTGAGAAGGACGAAATGTTTCTTCAGTGTGTCGGAACGGGCCAGAGTCTGCTCAAGATTTTTCAACCACCACAGATGGGTAATTGAAAAATTTGGGGTACCCTTAATGTCCATAGGTGTTGGCAGAGCGTCCCTGATAGCATCGATGTTGAGTTCACCGTCGAAGTCATCATCGGCACTGGCCTCTTCCATGCAGACCCAATAGTATTTGGACCCCATGGTAGAGCAATCCTTTAGGAACACGATCGAGTTCAGGTAATCATCGATCACTTGTTTACGATATTCCATCAGGCACCTCTGGCCGATGTTGGTTTTTTAGAGTAATTATCGAGCACGACCGGTGTAGACCATCATTATTTGGTGCTCATCCTTCTTTCAGCGAAACCTTTCCTCCTCGAGCTCACGCTCTTTAGCCCGAAGATTACCCATCAATCTCTGGTTTCCTTTCTGATATGTTGAGCCAGCTCATTGTGCACTTAGGTTAATTGTCAGTTTTGATCAGCCAAGAGTGCCATTCTCTGCTCGAGCTCGGAATGGTTAGACCAGAGCCTTCAAAGGCAGTGTGGGCAAGAGGAACAAGACCAACAAGACTTTGTGAACAGAATAAGTGCAATACAATGATTAGAAAGAGACGTGGGTCGAAATCTATGGAAGTCCAAATAAAGCAAAAACTGAGATTTACCTGAACAGCCACACGAATAATACCGTCGTTTTGAGCTTTGAGGATGAATCCTAACGGTTAAGTTTGGCGGCAGAGAGCATGTTCATGAGAAAAGACGTGAGCATTAGGTCGGTGGCATTAACCAATGAAGGAGTGGTGATAGTTCTATTCTCTTCCTCAAGGCGAGGCAACTTGTTGCTCTCTTCATCTTGGGTAATGGGGCATTTCCGAAGACCGGTGTCGAGCGATCGCTTGCTCGAAGGTGAAGGTTTTTGTTCGACCACCTGGTTTGTTGATTGAAGCAGAAGGGAGGCAGTGCCTTGCTTCTGAATGGAGGGAGATGTAGGTCCACATTCCTTAGTCGAAGGAAAAACGGGCCCTTGTTCCTCCATCGACTAAAACATGGGCTCGTGCTTCTTAGTTGGAGGAGAAGACGTGTGATATTTTGTTTTTTGTTTGGATTGGCTGGGATCTGTCTTCTTGGTTGACTTACTCTTGTCACCAGATGAAGTCTTCTAAGTAAGGGAAAGTGCGAGTTTATTCATGAAGTCTCCTTCAAGAAGTCGATTGAGAGTTAGAACAGTAATAATAATCAGTGGTCAAGTAAAGAGGTCGAAACTACCTGCTTCAGCCTCATCAACAACACGAAGATCTTGGAGAGCTTGCTCGAGGTGTGGAGGATATGGTTTGTGGGTAAGTATACCACAGTGGTACAAAAGGTGGTCAGTCTTAAGATAAGTCATGGAAGCAACTGGATTAGAGTTCCATTGAGAGATACATTTGTCAAACAAAGGTTTTGAGGAGGACTCTCAGTCTCGAAGGGAAGAGACATGAGCCAAGGGGCCAAGGCCCAAGGGAAAGAAGTGTCGGGTGTAACATTTACAAACTTTTGCTTCCATTTTGGGACGTTAGAGGGGATATCAGAGATGAAGTGCGAGTTATTTCGGATCTTTAAATAGAGCTCACCTCTCTGGCTTGAGGACATAAAGCAATAAAAGAAGAAATCTATTTCGATTTGACCTAGATAGATGTAAGATAAAATAGCAAAAGTAGTGAGAAATTGAATGGAATTATGAGAGATATGAATAATATGTAAACCAAATATCCCGCATATTTTGATCAGTTCAAAGCAGAGAGGAAAACAAAGGCCTAGGTTGAACTAGATTTGGAAAAAGGTGTAACAACCCTAGGAAGGTTGGTCGTAGGTATCGTTATCACCTGGGAGAGAAGCCTCAACTAGAAGGATGGGCGAATTTTCCGAGACCTAATCATTTAATTTGCTGGGAGTAAGAACAAAAAGGGGAAGGATTAGCTCGAGAGCCTGAATGATTATTTTGATGACGAGGAGTAGGGAAGTTGGTCGAAGGACCAACTTTAGCAGTCGAAGTGGGGAATGGAATGGTCGAAAATATGGGGTTGGGATGAAGCACCTCGTGGTCCTCCTCCTCCATCGCACCGATTGCGTCGTGTAGACCAAATGGTCAGCAGGAGCGATGAAAAGGTAGAAGGTCTTTAGGAATGTCTTCGTCTGCCTCATCGACTAGACACAAAGTTTTGCGAAGAGGATGGACTTGGTGAGTTTGAATGAGAGTTTCTGGTCGAATAACGGAAATTAGAGTGTGTTGGAGGATTTCTTCAATGGAGTCATTGAGGGAATCGAGTATATGTTGAGTGGTCAAGGAGAATAGTGGAGACATGTCCTCGGTGGATAAGTGGTCGTTTTTGCTCGAGGTGGCAGAATCCGTAAGAGAAAAAAGAAAAAATATTAAAAACAAGATTTATAGGGTTTCAGGTGGAGAACAAGAAGAAGAAGAAGAAAAAGAGTTAAGAACTTTCACCGATGGGTTGTACAAAAAATTAAAGGAGGAATGTGAAGGAATAAAATCAAACTGTACAAATAAAAATGCAAATTGAAATGGAAAAGTAAAAAGACTTACTCATTGTCGGGGATTGGAGGATGTTCGGTTGAAATGGTAAGTGCATAATCGGAGATTGTGTCGGAGAACACAAGTGTTGCAGAGCACGAGGTCACCCAAAACTGATTGCAGAAAGCTCAGAAGTTGCGACACAAATACCGCTGATAAAATTGCAAATGTGAAGAAAGCTAGTGCAAGTCGGGATTGAGGATATTTATAAGAGAAGAGAATACGTGAAAGGGTCGGTCAATCGCTGACCGTTAGATGAGGTGGAAGATTTACGAGGAGATGATTAGAAGAAGAAGATGAACAGTTCAACTTGCAGAACTGTTGGATCGAATGATGAAATCAAGGGTGAAGATATGGCGGCGTGCTGAAAAGACAACTCGTTTTATAACCATTGTATTAGGAGAAGATACAAGGGACAACATGATGAAGCATTTAATGCGCACGTCATTCGAGGTGGCACAATTCACGGAAAGGTGATGTCAACAATATATAGGATTGGATGGGCTTGACAAGATTAGACAGATGGCTGGTTTGAATTTCAAAATTAAAAAATGAAGGCTGGAGAAGGAAGAGATAGAATAAATGTGCAAGATGCCCGATAAACAAGAGGAACAACGTAGCAACAAAAGGCAGAAGACGTAAATGTACTGTTGGATCGAGTTATTTAAACTCGACCGGAGTGGGGGGAACTAGATTATATGGGATACCACACTTAGAAGAGTAAACCGGTCGAGTAGCTTGAACAAACAAATCCGAACGAAAGGGTCGTGGTCGAACATCACAACATTAAGAGCCTTTGAACCGATAGACGGTTTAAAGAATATTTCGGTACAAGGAGAGTAGATGGAGCCAGGACCCTCGGATAGCCTGGTCGAAACTCGGCCTATAGTTACAAATAGCCGCCTGAACGACAAAAGACTCAGACTTGAAGCAGTCATCGCTTCATCTCAAAATCGACCTAGAGTTGGTCGACTCCTCGAAGACTAGAAGATATTAGGGAAATCAAATCCCACGTGGTTAGGACACGCGGCATCACCTAATTGGCCAACACCTCATAACTGTTTCTGACACAACTATAGTGTGTGTTGTATCTTGACAGTTTTCTAGAAGTAAGTACCTCGCTCCTATAAATAGTGTTGATATGCATTACTTTTGATTATTACATTCATATTACTCCATATTTTTCTAGAAATCATCTCATACACATCCTCATTGAAGCATCAGAGGCTCTTCACCGGAAAATTCCTCCGGCGTGAGAGTTTTTTTCAACCGGCGAGGGAGCACACGAGCAAGTCGATCCAAGCCGGTCGGAGGTCTTTTATGTACCACGATGGTTGATTCCAATTATTTAATGGTCGGTTTGACGATCAAGAGATACAGTTGGGTTGCTAATGAAAAAGGATTACTATACATATATGTTGCACGAAAACCCAATAGCCGGATCTCTGAAAAGTTCCAACAAAAATTAATAATATTTATCAAATTTTTTGAAACTCTAACAATGATTAAATAAAAGTTTAAGATATCATATGATGAAATTAAGTATAACGTTGGAAAAATCATTTCGAGGGGATATACAATTTATTAAAATATATCATTGGTAGGCTAGTGACGAACGACGACTGACAGTGGTGGCCGGCGATGGCAAAATCGTAGGATTTTCAATTCACACATATTTTATCTACTCAAATAATATACATTTTCAACGGTCTTCTCATTAAAAAAATAATAACTAAATTAGTTGTACATCAATTTACATTCTATAAATAATTAAAGTCTTCCCACAATTCTTTTCTTATTTATATCAAAATATATCCAAATCTTCCAATATTTGCTCCCAAAAATCCACGAGACTAAAAAATACATCTCTTGATTGGTAATTTACCTTAAAAAAATACAAGAAGAAGAAAACTGCAATTAACCACGCTGATCTAATTATGACCGAATAGTAGAAAGAAAAGATTACATATCCACCGTGGTAAAAGGTAAAAAAAAAAAAGAGAGAAAGAAAAAAAAAAAAACATGTACAGTAAATATATGAATACATGAAACATATCCATCACAACATAGAAAACAGAGCAGTAACCATCAGCTAAGCAGAGGGAACCAGCGGTCGCGTAGATCGGACTGATATGAGAGCATGAATAGGAGGAGCACCAACATGAGTCCCACACCCCACGGCGTCCCGCTCGAGTCCTGCTCCGGCAGCAACGAGGGCGACCTGGGCATGAGGTGCAGGACAAGCAGTAGAAAGAGTGGGGAGAGCGTGAGAAGGAGCTTTATCTGGTCGATGATGCCCTCGAAGAAGGAGTCGTAGTTGATGTACCAGGTGACGCCCACGAGAGACATGAGTATGAGCAGCAAGAAGCACAGGTGGAGGTGAAGGGCCACCCCTCCACTGCTTTCGTAACTATTCTTTGACATTTTCTTCTCTGCCTTGTGTGTGTGTGTGTGTGTGTGTTTTTTTTTTTTTTTTAATCGAATTGTAAGATTAATTTTTTGGGTGGTGAGGGTGGTTGATTCTGATTTTGGGGGCGACCTTTATATAGAGGACTGGTGATGGTTCGTTTGGAGATTTGGGTTAATGGCTTCACGCGCTCTCTGTGTAAGTTTGGATACCACGCACGATTAGCTTTATTCATGTTGCTTTTCCCTTAGCTGTTTGTTGCAAATTCAAATTGGTATTTTTTTTTTTCTACATATATGTAGGTTTGGATGGCACGCGCGGTTAGCTTTGTTCATGTTGCTTTGATGTTTTTCCTTAGCTGTGTTACAAATTCCTATTGGTAATTTTTTTTTTTTTGGGCATCATAAAAACTTATAGATAAAATGCATAATTATATTTAAAAAACACTAAAAACGATCCGATTCGAGCAATTATATGACTTAATTTAGTGGGAAGACAAATTCCGAGGTCGTCCAGAACCCACACAACTAAACAACAATACATCTACAAAGTACAAACACAGACTACCAACTCCCACGAGTTTCTAAATATTCTCAAACCGAAAAATAATACAACCTCCCAAAATAGAGAAAAAAGCTCAACAAACCAAGCAAACACACAAACTCAAAAATGGTTTGCTTATTTCATAACTGAAAAGAATACTGTTGTTCGAGCCCTGGGAATGCAACAGTATTAAAAACTTTTGAGGGGAAGCTTTGCCGCCTTTTTGGTCCTACCCCACTTGATTCTGGATTAGTCAGTTCCCCTGTAGATCCAGCAATCGTAAGGTCCTTTAAAAAAAAGAATACCGTTCATTTTTAGTGAAAAGGCGTGAATGGTCTTTATACTTTACAAAAATTAGAACTTGCATAATTCAAAAATAATGTTTGGGTGGGGTACTTGTGACTCAGCGCGTGTGCTAAAAAGATTTTCCTTGCAGGTGAAGGGTTGCCAAATTATATGTATTATTATCATTATATGTATATTCTTCTAGTTATATATAATTAGTCCGTACAAAAAATACCCAAATGGCCGGTGAAAATGTCTGAAAATTGAATGGTTATAATAACCTGTATTAAAGCATCGACCACCAGAAACCTTACACGTGTCACTGACAGTACCAAATCACAAGGATGCCCCCACCTCCTCTCTACATCCGGGTACTTCGAGGGATCTATACTATAAAATTTTGATCCCTTGCCTACGGTGGGTAGTGCCCACCACTTTGTTTTATATGAAAAACGTATTCTGAAAATACGTTTTTCAATTAATTTAATTAAAAAACGTATTATCAGAATACGTTTTTAATATAAAACAAAATGGTGGGCACTGCCCACCGTGGGCAGGTGAACGGGACTACTATACTATAAGCCTGAAACCCAGATTTTGTAATGCAAAAAATAGGTAAGCAGTAGATTAGTTAGGTGTATCTCGTATTTTAAAATGAAAAATAAATGATTATTAAATTAATTTGGAAAATTATTAAAGATTAATTCTGGCTAATTCTGTAATAACATTTTTTGTGTAGTGGACCGTTGATCTTTGGCGTTGACCGTTGACTTTCGCCGTTAACGGTCGATTTTAACCATTGATCGTAGCAGACATTAAGTTTAAATTGTGAGAATGTGAGAAAAATACTTGATGTATTAATGACAAAAGTATGTACATGTATATAAAGACACAAGATGGGCTTACTATATAACTAACACCCCCCCTCAAACTCAATGTGGTATAGTGGAGATCAACTTGAACTTGCTAAGAAGTAAACAAAAGCGACCGGGAAGGAAAGACATCGTGAAGACATCCGCAGGTTGATCTGTAGAGGAGACGGAAACAAGCTTCACAATTCCATCTGAACATGCTGTCAAATGAAGTGACAGTCGATCTCAATATGCTTGGTGCTCTCATGAAATGTATCATTATGAGACATCTTTATAGCACTCTGACTATCACAATGTAGAGTAGTAAACGACGACTGAGGTGCATCGAGATCAGCAAGTAGCCTACGTAGCCATAATAGCTCGGAGGTGGAATCAGCAACAGCACGGTACTCAGACTCAACACTCAATCTGGAAACTAAGGTTTGCTTCTTACTACGCTAAGAGACTAGTGAATCACTCAGAAAGAAGCACTACCCAATAATGGAACGTCGATCAATAGGATCTCCAGCCCAATCTGCATCAGAATAGTCGCTAAGTGTCAAGGAAGAGCATGCCGAGAAGTGTAAACCATGCAATAGAGTGCACTTCACATAGCGAAGACTGTACAACACAGCAGAATGATGCGTGGTTCTCGGAGCATCCATAAACTGACTCACAATATGAATAACATGAGCTATATCAGGCCGAGCGACAGTAAATTATATCAAACTCCCAACAAGCTGACGATATAGCGCAGGATCCTCAAGAATAGAGCTATCCAATAGAGTAAGAAGGACATCATAATCAAGAGGCATGGAAGCTGTCTGACAATCAGTGAAATTGGCCCGAGCAAGAAGATCAGAGGCATACTTGGCTTGAGAAAAATAGAAGCCATCAGAGAAATCAGAAATCTCAAGACCCAAAAAATAGCGAAGCTGACCCAAAATCTTCATCTCAAAACGCTGACAAATATAGCCTTGTAAATCGGAAATACCGGTAACATCATCTCCCGTGATGAACACATCGTCAACATAAAGCTGCAAAATAATAATCCCGGAGGAGGAGCGCCAAAGAAACAAAGCAGAATCGTGATCACTCGTAAGGAAACCAAACTGAAACAATGCGTAACTGAACGTGGCATACCAGGCACGAGGCACTTGTTTCAAACCATACAAAGCTCGACGTAGACGACAAACCTTTCGAGAGAATAAGGCGCCCAGAGGAGGAGTCATGTAAACCTCATCAGATAAGGCACCGTGCAAGAAGGCATTCTCGACATCTAACTGTAGAAGAGACCATCGACGAACAACAAAAATAACAAGTAAACATTGAACAGTAGTAAGGCGAGCAACTGGTGCAAAACTCTCTTCATAATCAATGTTGTACTCCTGTGATACCCCGTAGCAACCAAACGAGCTTTGTAGCGCTCAAAAGATCCATTTGAATTTTTCTTGATCTTATAAACCCATTTGCATCCTATAGATGTCTTTCCAGCAAGTAGATCCACCAAATCCCAAGTATGAGTCTTCTCCAATGCCTGCAATTCCTCAGCCATAGCTTGTTGCCACAATGGATCAGCACTCGCCTCACGAAAATATCTAGGCTCATGATAATATAGTATGGCTGAATAACAATGAGTCACGTTAGTGAGTAGGGGGACGACTTACACGGATTGATCATCGGTGGTCAATAGTGGGCGAAGGGACAAAATCAGAAGAGGACTCATTAGGAAACATCGATTCAGGATGCGCAGGTGGAGCTACTTCAGAAGACGGAGCCATGACAGACGTGTCAATGAGCTGTGAGTCAGGAAACGTATCTGGAAAGAGATCCGAAGTAATGGACATGAAGAAAGGGGATGACGAATCGAAGGGAATGTGAAATTTAGAGAAAGAAGAAAAAGTATTATGCTCCCAAAAGGTAACGTGACGCGAAATATGCAACCAATTAACAATAGGATCCCAACACCTAATCCCTTTGTGTTCTACCCCATAACCCAAAAAACAACATAGACAAGCTCGAGGTTCTAATTTGGTCCACTCATGGAATGGGAGAAGAACAAAGCAAACACAACCAAAAGGGCGTAACTGAGTATAATCAGGCGATTGACCGTATAACCTCTCAAAATTATTGACATCTCGAAGAACTGGTGAGGGTAATCGATTGACAGCATAAATAGCAGACAAGGCTACCTCACCCCGGAAATGATCGGGACACTGAGCAGAAAGGAGAAGAGCACGAACATTATCAATAATATAACGATGCTTACGTTCAACTCGTCCATTTTGTTGAGAAGTATAAGGACATGAAAGCTGAACTACTGTACTCTGATCAGAAATAAATTATAAAAAGGTTGAATCTTTGTACTCAAGGGCATTGTCAGTACGCAAGACTTGTATAGGACAAGAAAATTAAGCGTGAATCATCTTAGCAAATTGAATATATATGGTGGGAAACTTAGAACGATGTTTAAGAAAATAGATCAAGGTAAAATGAGAAAAATCATTAACAAAAATAACAAGGTACCGAAAACCATTCATATAAGCAACCGGAGAAGGACCCAAAATATCAGAATGTACCAAACCAAAAGGTTCATCAGAGTTGAAAAATCTCAGAAAAAGAAGAGCGAATGTTTCCCAATTTACAATGAAGACAACTGAAAGACTCAAAATGACCAGGACCTAAAAGACCTTTATTATATAAAGAACGAATTTTATTTGAAGACGCATGCCCAAGACGAAGATGCCATTGAAGATTGGACTTATTATCAGTGACAAGAGCAAAAAAGGAGGAAGAACGAGGGATATAAAGAGACTCAAGCTCAAATAATCGGCCCATCTTGCGACCCATCCCAAGAAGCTGACTCGTCTGTGTATCCTGAACCTGAACATCAGAAGATGAAAATATAACATTAAGGCCTTGTTCAACTAATTGACCAACATAAATAAGATTCAAGGCCAAGTTAGGAATGCAGTATGTGTCGGGAAGGTGTAAAGAGGAGGAAGAAACCAGACTAGTGTGAGTAATATTCATATGGGTACCATTGGCAGTATGTATAGGAGGTAAAGAAGTTACGAAAAATGAGGAAGACAAAAATTGTGGACTAAAGGTCATGTGATTGCAACAGCCAGAATCAAAGTACCAATGAGGGTTACCTGCAGTAGTAGACATAACAGAATTAGAATGGATAACCTGTTTGAGAATAGCTTCAATGTCTTGAAGAGTGTAAGACGAGTGCTGAGGCTCATTAGTGACAGCTGCTGTAACGGAAAAAGAGGTTGATGAACAAGACCCACGAGACCCTTAATATCGAGATGATGAACCTCTCAAACGTTGTG